CCCCCGCCTTCCGGCTCTTCCTGCCCGGAGTCTGCAAGACAGGGGCCACACCACCACCTAAAACCACACGCTCGTCCTCTTCCTCCCGGGTTCTCCTGGCCACCCACATGATGGCATTTCCAATCATCCCTGTCTACCCTCCGTAATCAGCTCCCTGCCCTCGCCCTCAGCGCCCTGGGTGGGGCTTCTCTCCTCTGCGCAAACAGCCCTGGGTGTTGGGCGAATGTGACGCTCACTTCACATGCCGTTCCTCTGCCAAGAGAGCTGCTCAGTGGATCGTGAGTGTGTTTCTAGAAAGCCTGTCTGTCTGCATCTGCCCCTCCACACCCCAGAAACCAAGGACCAGCTCCTCATGGGTCACTTTAGTGGGGCTGTTTCTGGGAAGCCTTCTGGAGAGCAGCAAATCGCCACGAAAGCAGGAAAATGCTGGGCTGGCGGACTGCCTGCTCCTCTGCCGGACTTGAGGGTCCTCAGTTTGCTCTGTGCCCCAGGCAGGTCCACATCACCTAGTGTCCAGAGTGGGATGGATGGAAGATCCAGGTCAGACCTCCGTCTGCCAGGGGGCCCACAATGACCACGAAGGTGACTGGCCCAAAGCCGCCTGGGCCATGCTACCCACAAGCCCACCTTTCACGGACGCAGCTCCTGACATGTGCCACTCTCCAGCCCTCCGTCTGCAGCCAGGCCGAAGACTGCCTTCTTTCTGCCCTACGAGAAGGAGTGCGACACAGGCCTGGGGGCCTGGCCGCTGTGTGTCAGTGAAAGGGCATTTCAGCTCCCCACGAGGGGCCATGCTTTCTGCGGAGTCGCAGGTGCTGATGTTGGGGGGGGGGGGGCAGAGAGGGAAACAAAAATGTCTTATGAATAAATGTCTTATGAATAAAAAGCACCCGTATCCCATGCCATCCAAATGCGGTGCCAATGAGGACCCTTTAAAAAACGACCGTTCCCACACACACGTGGACCTGCAAGAGCCGCCCGCTGCTGACAGGGAAGCGAGAGGAAGACGCCGCACACCTGGCCCACGTGAACCGGCAGGGACCGGGTGCCACTCGGGGCCAGGACACGGACTGAGCAGTGGCTGGAGTGTGGGCATGCAGGACATGACTGTGCAGAAGCTGCCTGGCCCCTGGGGTCCAGCACGGAGCAGAGAGGGTCTGCACAGACACCCCTTCCCTCCAGTCCTCTCAGAAATTCAGATGCCCCCTCCCCAGCCAGTGGTCTACGCTCTGTCCCCCTCCAAGCTCTCAGCCTTTCCCACCAGCATTTGTTTCCCACACCGGGTCACGTCAGCGGTTCCTGTGTGCCCCTGACCCATCCCAACAGATCACCAGCCCCTCTGTAGGAACTCTGTCCCCAAAGTGGCCTAAAGGCTGGTCCACAGCAGGTCCATGAAAATGCCAAACAACTGTCATGAGTGAAAACCCTGGTACTGTCACTCTGATACGACTCAAAAAACACATCTGTCACAGCACAAAGGCTCTGAGGATGCTGCTGAAGACACAGTAACACGGTTCTCAACTTTTTTTTATTATTTTTATTTTTTCCTAGGAAGATTAGCCCTGAGCTAACATCTGCTGCCAATCCTTCTCTTTTTGCTGAGGAATACTGGACCTGAGCTAACATCTGTGCCCATCTTCCCCTACTTTATATGTGGGACGCCTACCACAGCATGGCTTGCCACGCAGTGCCATATCCACACCCGGGATCTGGGCCAGCGAACCCCGGGCCACGGAAGCCGAATGTGCACATTTAACCACTGCACCACCGGGCCAGCCCCGGTTCTCAACTTTCCATTCCAAGATACCGAAGTTAGTAATTTTTAAGTCCAAATAATGTTTAAAAATACTTAGTAATTTTTTAATCTAAAGACTTAAATGGCACTTTTGATAGATACTGAAGAGAAAACTTTGCATAAGTCACACTAAGGTCAAATTTGACTGATCTGGCTCGTTTTTATCCTTTACTATAACAACTTTTTAGTTTAATAGAAAATGTTATTTCCCTTTTCCACGACTTTTCCATCTACAACAATTCCCACAGGGCGTCTTCTGCCATCACCAGCAAACCAGACCACAGAGCCTGAGTGTGTGCACGTCAGGAGCACAGAGCAGTTAAGCTGGAATGGCAGAACAGAAGGAAAAGCCTTCCGTGATCCCAGGGTCTGACCCCAGCGGTCATGGCTGCACCAGAGCCAGAGCCGAGGGCAGAGGACACAAGAACCAGGACGAGGACAAGACAACGTATTTCAAAGACTTAAATAAGCCTTGTGGCCTCAACAGAGATTTTTAACCATCCATTTATTCTTAGGAGTCAGGCCATTCAGGCAAACTTGTAGCAACAAGAATAATCTTTTTTTTTTCTGGGAAGGGGACAGATTCACAGGGAATTCTTGACAATCTACTATCACTCGACAGACTTTAAGATAAAATGTGTTAAGTCAGAGAGAAAAAAAAAGCCTACATTTTTATGACAACATGAGTTGGGCAGGAACATGAAGCTCCCAGAACAGGGACCACCGTGGCAGGTGCTGTGACACTGGGAGTGGGGACAAGGAGCAATGGCTTCTAGAACTCTCCTCTCACTTTAACAGAGCAGCCGAGAGGGCACCTGAGCACAAGCAGCATCAGCAGAGGGAGGTCTCGGCTCGGCTCACGCTCTCGGGTCTGCAGCACTTCCTAAACACCGCGCACTAAGTGGGGCTCCTCAGCTCTCAGGGGCTGGTCCGAGACCTCTGGCAGAGAACAGAGCATGAACACTGCACAGCTGTCCCAGAAACCCAGACCACAGGGACAGACTGGCCCACTTTCCCTTCTTTAGAAAAACCCCCACATAAGGACAGTGTTGGAAAGTTCACTCTTGCAATTTAATTTGGTTTAACATGTTTGTAAATAATACACCCTGATATGTCAGACGGTATTTCCTCCAAGTCCTTACAGCTGTTCCACACACTCTTGGGGTTTCCCTCGCCCTTTGTGAGCGAGTGGCTGTCACCAGGGCACTGGGTCACCTTGATCCTGGATAACTGAGTGGGACACACAGCATCCAAGAGGGCTGGTGCCTCTGCAGGTGCCGCAGTCCTGAACATCAGAGAGCAGACGTGGACCAAGGTTGGAGCACAGAAACAACTTATTTTCAAACACAAAACAGCTAAACCTGAACAGTGGTCATCTCATCTAATCAAAACAAGATTCTCATCTCCAGGAAGACGTCAGTGAGAGGCTTAATTAAATGTCCCACGGCTGGCCTCCAGGAAAGGCTGCACTGCGGGTTTCTGAAGAGCCTAAAGTGAATCCATTTCCCATTCTCTAAAGAGACCTCTCCCCACAGCCCCACACCTTCTTCCCTTCAGGAAATAACTACCAACATTTTAGGGGACACAATGTTTAAGCTCCTACTTAAACCTTCAGTAACTTCTGCCTAAGTAGGCTATCATTAGCTTAATTCTTTCTGGAATAACAAATCTCCAAAGTTTTCAGTTTGATAATATCTAAAATTATCATAAAATATACCAAACGGAAGGATTCTACTGTGATAATATTGTTTACTTCATTATTCATGTGAAAAACCTTTCTATAAATTTCCTGTTGACGAACAAACTATTTTCCACTCTTGCAGAGCGGAACATTGCCTTGCTCTGGCAGCATGTGGACCAGCAACGGAGTGAATCCACAAGACTGCTACCCAAACGGGAAGCCGGCTTCAATAATAAACCCAACATGAGAGATTCTACAATTGATACAATTAAAGGCTCGCGAGTGCTCCCTGCACAGGTGTCTTCGCCCAGCCGTTTGCTAAACACGTTGCCTAATTAGCATTTCTTTAAACAATGCTGATAACAATCTTGCCACTGTAATCCAGGACAAACGCGTCGCTGAGATTGTAGAAGGAAAGCGCGAGGAAATTCACTGAGAATCTCAGTCAAACTTTCGTTTGTTTATATTTCCGTGGTGCCAGAAAATATCTGTTCTTCGCCCCATTTGGTTTGCACCCAGGCTCGTCGGTCCAGCCCTATTGTGCGTAGTCCGTTAAACCTATAATAAGGAATTTGTTAGCGGAGCTGGGGGAACCCCAACTAGCCAGAGCTCTCCTCCTGGCGCAGAACATCCCCCACTGCCATCAGGATTGAGTTGTCAGACACCGACTCGTGCCACCCTGCGAAACTGACATATCTATTTACAGAGAAACAAAGACGCGGCTCGCGGCGGACCCCACTCCCTCCGCGCGCCCCGTCCGCTCCGCGCGCCCCTTAGCGCTCGGCGCGCCCAGTCCCCTCCGCGCTCCTCCAGCCGCCCAGCCCCGAGGCCCCTGCGCCCCGGTTCAGCCAGTAATTAAAATGGAGACGAGGCCACTGCCCGGCTTCAGGGGGAGACAATGACCCCCAAGGCCCGGCGGGGAGCGGGGACCCGCCCGAGCCCACCTCCCGCAGTTCTGACTCTTGGCAAACTCGGCGCGGGCGGGTCCGGGTGCGACTCCGCGGCGCAGGCGGGGGTCGCGCGGGGCGGCGGGGCCGGAGGGGTGCCAGGATGCCCCCGGGCTGCCTCCTGGGGCCGGGCGTTGACGCAGCAGAAATTACCAGCTGGAAAATTCCCCTTTTGGAGGTGACGGGGGAGGGACCGCGGCGGCGGCGGCGGCGGCAGGAGGCGCGGAGGGCGAGGGGCGCGGGGCAGCCCCGCGGCCGCCTCCGCCTCAGCGCGCAGCCCCGCGGGGACCCCGCGCCGCCCCCGCCCGCAGCGCCCCGCCCCGCGCCACCCGAGCTTGGGGACCCGCAACGGCCGGGCCGGGGTCGCTGCCACCGCCCCCGGAGCCGCAGCCCGGCGCGCCGATCGCCTCCAGGAGGGCGCCCCCGCGGGGCGGGGCGCGGCGGGGCGCGGGGCGCCGGCAGCGGGGCGCGCCCGGCTCCGAGCGGCCCCGGCTCCGAGCGGCCCCCGCCCAGCCCCGGCCCGGCCCCGCAGCGATGCGCCGGCCCGGCCCGCGGACAATGAGCCGGCGCCGCTTACCTGTGACCCCATGGGGCGCGGGCGAGGGCGGGCGCCGCGGCCGCCGGACCGGAGCCGATGATCGCCGCCGCCGCCTGGCGAGCGCTGCGTCCGGGCGGGTCCGAGCTGCGCGCTCGCCTCGGCCGCTGCGTCCGTCGGTCCGTCCGTCCGTCTGTCGGTCCGTCAGGCCGGCGCGCGCCCCCGCGCCCGCTCCAACCCCGCGGCCCCCGCCGCCCGCGCGCGCGCCCCGCCTGCGGACCCCGACCCCGCCCCCCGGCGCGCGCCCGGCCGCCGCTGATTGGCCCGCGCCGCGCCCCGGCCCCGGCCACCGCCCCGGGCCCCGCCCCCGCCGGCCCGCCGGCCGCCCGCCCCCGCCAGACCCGGCTCCGGCGCGCGGCGGGAGGGGGCCGCGGCGGGGTCGGTTCTCCTCGCCCCCCCCGCGGGCGGCCGGACAGCGGAAGTGCGGGCTGGAGCTCGCTGGGCATTGTGGGAAGCCCCCTCCGCTGGGCTGGCAGGGGGCGGGGGCGGCGCGGCGTGGGGTCTCGGGCGCCCGCTCCCCTTCCCCGGGGGCCGAGCGGCGGCCCCCCGCCCGGCTGGGAGATGCGGGCGGGGGCGAGGGCACCCCAGGCCCTGCCCGGACTGCGCACCCCGGCTTTGCCCGCACGCCTGTTCCTCGGGAGCGCGCGGGTCCCCGGGCCACAGGCTGTACCCGCGCACCGACGCGCAGTCGCACCGCGCGCGTCTCTCAAACTTCGCGACTTCCCCGCCCGCCCAGGCGGCCCGCTCTGCCGCGAAACGCGCTCCCACGGCCGCGCAGGGGCGCCTGGCCGAGAGGGCCTAGGCACCGCGCGCCCGCGCCGTCTGGGGACCTAGTGCGCCCAGGGAGAGGCGCACCTGGGGGCGCGGGCCACGTGACAGTGCCTGCCGCTGGGGCTTGGGTTTGGCCAACTTAAAAGCACTGGCGGCCACGCGAGTAGGTCCTTTCCGCTGCCTTGTCTGTCCCCTGGGAGTGTGGGTCCCCGCGAAGGGGCGGGAAGCAAGCGGCCTGGGTCCTGCCCCGCAGCCCCCACCCCTCGCCAGCGAGCCACATCTGCTGCCCCCCATAGGCCCTGCGCGTCCCATCTCGCCCCCGCTGTCCTCGAGCCCTCAGGCGGGCGGAATGGGAAGCGTGGCCCCGCATTCCCGGCTGGCCTGTGAGGGGGTCAAAGGCCAGCTCGCTTCCTCTCTCGGCGCGGCAGTGGGAAGGGAGGTGAGCCTGTGGCTGGCCAGCCGCGCAGGGGAGTCAAGCACGACTGGGCCATCCAATGGGGAGACGCCGCGGGCCATGCGCGCCCTGCTTCCCTGTGCGGAATTCCTTGGGAGGTGGGAGGTGGCGGGCCATTATGGATGCTTTCTCAGGATGTGTAAGGAGGCATTCACTGGGCTGCAGTGGGAGGGAAGGCTGGAGGGGGGGGGGGGGGGGGCATTCTCCTTGAGTGAACAAGGGTGAGCACGATCTGGCAGCCAGCGATGAAAGGCTCGGACACTCCCTCGCTGCTGGCGGCGCCTGGAAATGGCTGTGCCGACACTCACCCCACTCCCTTCCCGCTGCCTGGTTGGCACTGCCCACAGGCCTTTCTTCTGGGGACACTCTCCTCACATCCCGCTGGTCTGGAATGACAGGCCCGAGTTCCCCCTCCCTCCAGAGGTGGGGCCTGGGCACAGCTGCCCTGAGAAGCGCAGCGATAGGCCTCCAGGAGGGTCTGGCTGGTCACCCGCCTCCTCCCTTTGAGGGCACAGCCAGTGCTCTCTGCAGGAGTCCCCGCAGCTGCCTGCCCAGAGCACAGTTGTGGCCCATGGAGGAAAGGAGGCCAGAGAGACTGAGGAGGGTCCGTGGGTTGCCCGACCAAATTGAGGAGGATCAGACTCCTGAGGCCTGCCCTCCTCGCTCAGAGAGAGTCCCAGTCTCTCCCAAGATGGCTTGACCCCCCCCCCCCCAGACACTCCCAAGGAGAACAGCATTGCTGGGATGCTGTGTCCATCGTCGGTGCAGGAACGGAGAGCCGCAAAGTCTGCCTCGATCAGAGGCCACAGTGGTGCTCAGTCATTGCTCAGGAGGCCTGCGCAGGAGACCTAAGCCTTCATCTCACCCATAGTAGGGCCCACCTGCCAGCCTGGGGCTTCTGATTTGTGTAGAAAGCCTTGCTGAGTTCTGGAATGAGTCCCTGGGGCCCTGGGACTCTCTCTCCCCATTTCCCTACCCTGCATGATGATGAATCGAGGTTACATACACCCCTCCCCCCAGCAGTCCTGCCAGTGATTGGGGACAGATTCCCACCTTTTTTGCACCAAGAACCAGCAGAAGGCCAAGCAGTCTGAAGATGAAGCTGATACACCAAAAAGGCAGAACAAAGAACAGTCCCAGAGAGCCCTGATCAAGCCATGCCTAAAGCCCACCCTACCTCCAGACAGTTACTGTTCCGTGAGCTAATAACTTCCTTTACCGTTAAAAAAGAAAACCAACAGCAGCAACTGTGGCCTCAGCAAACCCGAGAAGAGGAGGAGGATCATGGAGCTGGAATCCCTGAAGGAACCTCGGTGCAGCTGCTCTGATGGGGAGATGCTGGCAACGTGGCCCCAGGAACCCCACGTTCATCAGTGCTCAGCATTGGCTAAGCCTCTACTAGGATTGGGCTTGCATCAGACAGATGCTTCCAGGCTGGGTCACAAATCCTCCCCTCTTGCTGGGGTTCCATAGATCCCAGTGCCCGCAACGTGCACAGCTCCTCATCCCTGAGGCCAGCAGAGACCCCAGGAGGGATCTGCTGCCTGACGACCAGCTGACCCCTCACCATGTGTAGACCGGCAGCCTGGTGAGGGCAGCTCCAGCTGGAGGCGGCTCTGGGAACAGGTGAGAACCGAGAGCGAGAGTTGGCCTCAGCGGCACACTTTGTCCAGGGCACCCAGTATCCAGGGCCAGCACAGCCAGCAGATGGGTGTCGGGAGTGTCCAGGAGATGGGCCCTGAGAGTGCCCTGATGAACTAGACATGGTCCCTGCTCTCGCTGAGCTAGTGGACAAGACAGACCAACAAATGGTTGGTCTGGACTCTGCACCGGTCACCGTGTGTGGTGGTCATTCCGGAAAGTCCCCCTCACCATGTGTGTGAGTGTGTCTGGAGCCTGCCCAAGGGACACCTCGAGCCCTGTAAGGGTCTGGGGGCCTGGAGAGAATGAGCAGCAGCAGGCCTGGGCTGGGGCCCACAGATGCACCAGCTGATGGCAGCCCCCCAGAGGTGCTGCCTCCACCCCCACCACAGACCCCGGGCCTTTGAAGGGCAGGCTCAAGTCGGTGAGCCGCGTGACTGGCGGGGCCCCGGGAAGGTCCTGGCACAACCACCTGCGCTCACAGCCCTCTGCCTACCCTCTACCCCCACTTTGTGGCTTCAGGGGGACAGAGGAGCTGAGAGGGGACCCAGCCCCATGCCAGATGCTCTGATGCCACCAAGAGAGCAGGGACCTGCCTCCCACAGGTCTGCTCCTGTGAGGCCTAGCCTGGGAGGGGCTTTGGGAAAGAAGATGAGAGGAACAGCAAAAATCCCTTCACATCTTCCTTCCCAGTGTACGCTGGGCCACCTCCCCTTGCCAAGGCCTTTACACCACCCCCACCTTCCCCCAAGGCCACATTCCCCATCCACCCCCAGCTGGGTTTCCAGGCCATCTTCACAGTGGTCACTGGTCAGGGAACCTGCCTGTTTATTCTCCAGCCAGTGGTGTTGCTCAGCCGTCCCCATGGCAACAGCCCTGGGAGTCCTGCCCCCTCCCAGGGAATTGCCCAGAACCTGTCCCTGCCCTCTTCCAGCCTCTGCTGGAAGCCGGACAGGGAGGGAGAGAGGCCGAAGGCAGGGCTGGGAGGGAGGCACAGGCAGGCTGAGGATGCCTGGGCTGTGCGGCAGGAACCACCCTCTGCGCGTCATCCTGGGTCCTGCGGGTGGACCAGAGGCCAGCCCTGGCTGCAGCGAGCCCCACCCGTGGGGTGGGGAGGCTGCCTCGCCGAGGCTGGAGCGAGGCCCGGCCTACTCCCGGGCCTGGCTCAGCTGCGTCTGGTGCCAGCTGGCCCTGCCCTCTTGCTGGGCCTCCTGGAGACCACCCTCCACAGCCACTCAGGGCCAGGGGCTACCTGCCAAGCCCACGGCTGCCCCACCCCAACTGTCCTCTGGGCCTGCACCCCTGCCAAGCCCCAACTGCGGCTCCAGCTGCCGCCGCCAACTGTCTCCCCATCTCCATTCCAAACGCTCACCCCCAACCGTCCTTCCAAAGGCCACTGCCAACTGCCAGCCCTTCCTTCCTGAGCCCACTCCTGCCACCCACGTCCTGGGACCAGGCCTCTGCTTCCCAGACCTTCCCTCCAGGACACAGGCTGGGCCACACTTGCCCTGTGCCTGGGCAGGGGCCGGTGTCAGAGGACAGGGGCAGAAAGCTGGAGAAGGGGGTGGGGGTCTGGCAGACAGAGGGGGTGGGGAGGGAGCAGGGCAGAACCACCGTCCTTGGTGCCAGCTGCATGACCAGGCCAGCACCCGGAGGGACAGCAGCCAGGGCCTGGCCTGGGCAGGCCCCAGGGGCTGTGGGGTGGAGCTGGGCCCTGTACTCTGAGGGTCTGTGAACAGTTCAGCCTGACCAGCGACCTTGGCCTGATCTGGCAATGATCAGGGCATTTTGCCTCCCTCCCCGACCAGGCCTCTCTCTGGAGGCCAGCAGCCTTCCACAGCCCCAGGTGGGCCCAGCTCCTGGGTCTCAGCTGTCTGAGGCCAGCCTGAGCTTGGAGGGGTGGCCCTGGCCTCCCTCCTTTGTTGCCACCCCAGGACACTGGGCCAGCCCGGGTCCCTGTGTCATCTGACCCCTGGCTACTGGTATGGTCCAAGCCTTTGCCTTGCTGCCCCCTCTTCCTATCTCACTTCTCTTTCCCTATTCATCCCTGGTCCCTGTGGAGGCCTCGTGTCCTCTAGGGGAGCCTCCCTGATCCCACCTTGCCTCATCCACAGCCCCTGCTCCCCCTGGCACACAGCAGCCACCCTATCCGAGCTGTTCCTCGCCTTGCCAAGCCAGGAGGCTCTGCTGCCCATCACAGGTGCAGGCCTGGGGCTGTAATTCCATCTCAGGCGGGCTCTGGAAACTGGGAGGCCCGGGGGACCAGCCAGTCAGCGCTGGAGCAGGGCAAGGGGGCCGGGGCCTCTGTCCCCGCTGAGGAGCG